CTCTGACCTTCAAAGTGTGAGGAAATAACTCCTGCCAGAACACTGACAAAGACTATTAAGAATCTTATTTCACCATCCATTCATCCCTCACCTGTTAAACAAACACTTTTGAGTTCTGGAGGTCCCTGGTTCTATGTTAGTTGGGTCCTCAGGATTCAGTGCAACGAGACAGATTAAGTCCTTACTGCCATAAAACCTTGCTGTCTGTCCCCACTACTCATCACTCTCACACTAACCCATGCCAACCTTCATTTCACACAAATTTCAAATACATTTGCTCCTCCTAAAATAGTGTGTGCAGCAAGAACTCGAGTCCCTTTCTATTCACTGAACTGTATGTAGTCTTTCTCTCTCATCTCTGCACAGCACTGGGCCCTGCTCTCACATCTGCTCTGCTTGGCTTGCAGTCTCATCACCCTTGTCAGTCTCTCTGGGACTCTTGCTCCATCCAGGTATGCCCCTGGTGACCTGAGGTCCTGCTCCAAACCGCTCACAGAGAGGCAGAAGTGCGACTTCTGAGAGCCTTGTACTTTCTGGCACTTCCTTCTGTATTATGTATGCTTCCATGGGAATCAGGAGGCCTTTAGGGAATGACTTTAACAACTGTGTTTGGAACCATCCAAATTTCAAATGAGCACATGAGTGCGGTAGAAATTTACAGGCAAGTTGGAACAGAGAAAATGTTTACTTAATGGAAAAGCATTCTCCCTGAGGTTTCAGGCTCCTCTACCTGGGGCTCATACAAGTGCAGAGAGAACCCAGTTCCCTGTTTACTACAGAGCAGCGTCTCCGCTGGCTAAAATTAGCTTTTAGATCACTGGGCTTGTGCCTCTGCAGTGCACTCTGTCCCCTGGGGCTGAGCTGTTGGACTCCAGTTGGTTCTTACTCCTGCTGATCACCTGTGATTATCTCCCTGGCTGAGCTGTCACAGGTTGTGCCTGCTAAACACCCTTGCATCTGCCGAAGATGGGTCATTAGCACTGTCCAATCTCTCCATCATAGACGTTATGCTTAGACTTCCTGACTTCACTTCGTTCCATTGGAGTTGAGAGCCCGCAGCAGCATAAACGCTTTTCCCAAGGGTGACTCGTGCATCGTATTTGGCAGGCTCATTTTAGGACATGCCTAGGCATGCTCAAAATTAATTTCTGCCTTCGGTATTAGGATGGCTTTTCCACCTCTCTCAGCACTGCAGGAGACCCTGTTCATGACATTTGAAAAGTTGGTGTCAAACAGAAGCAAACATTGTAATTCTCTGGCCTCTGTTCTGGGCTTGATTTTCTGAATATCTCACCAATCATAAACCTTGTCCAGTAAGAACAGAGCTCCCGAGGCAGAAACTTCCCCAGCAAAAATTATTTAGTCTTCCTCCAAACCACCTCTTCAGAAGGTATATTGGTTCAGTGTGACCGCACCTTGATTTCTTTGCTTCATATGTGGTACCTGAGTTAATGTTTTTAAATAGCATAATGGGGCCAGCAAGATGGCTCTGCAGGTAAAGTCTCCTGCTGCCAAGTTTAAGGACCTCAGTTTGATCCCCCAAGACCCACATGGCAGAAGGAAAGAACTAACTCCCAAAAGTTATCCTCTGACATTCACAGGACTACTGTGCACACACATGTACGTGCACTTGCATACGTGAGCGTGCATGTAAGCACAGACTACATTACCTACCTAACTAAATGCGTACACAAGCATACTTATATCTATACACAGATAAATTTGAAAGGAATTCATCAATTAATAAGCAGAAGTAAATGGGAATTCTCATACCTCCTCCAACAGTCTGAAAAAATGAGATGTAATAACATCACAAAAGGCACATTAAAATATGATCTTTGGGATTGTAATAAGCCATTATAATTTTCCTAAATTGAGATAATATTAACTTTAAGAAGATAAGGGTTAACCCTTATTGAGAATATTGTCAATATGACATTGTTTTGTATTTTAAATATATTGTTTAATTTAATTAATTTGTTTAATTCTTAAAATATCCAACCTAGGGATATGGTTACCATTTCCACAGGCACGCAGAGATGACAACCCCCTCATGGTCTCCTAAACAGCTGTGTGATTTGATGTTCTCATCCTCTACACACTAAACAAGACTTTAAATTGCTCAGGACCTACTGGTCTCATTCTTAGTTCAATAACTGCTTTCCTGTTACCTCTCAGCCCTCCTTTTTCAGCTAAGGTTCTTAAGAAAAAGGAAAACTCCTTCATCTCCTTAGCCAGTTAATATCAATAGATAAGACTAAGCATATAAGCAAAGGAAACAACCTGTCAGTACAAAAAAAATTTTAAAGCTTAGCAACTTAGATGTCAACATGACTGAAACAGGGAAGGCTTTTAAAGGCTACTATTTTTGTAACAGAGGTTTTATTGCCATCTAGTGCTCAAAATGAAAATAACAGGTAAACAAGGTTAGGCTTATATTCGCATTTAAAGTCTTACTACCCAGGGAGTCCTAAAAAAAAAAAAAAAAAAAAAACCTCATTAAATTTACATACACTAAATATGAACTCATTAAACACTGACATACAGAGTTATTGTTTCTTCTTACTCCTCTTACTATTCACACGCTCAGCAATATATTATACATGTCCAGAGTTCGTTCTTACAAGGAATAAAGCCTTAAAGAAAATCAAGAACTAATTTTCAGTAGATGCAGTTAATGTGTTTTCGGCCCCTATGGGCTTATTTTAGGTCAATTTGGCTGTGTCAGTTATTCTTCTGTTATCTGATGTATTACCATTTCAAATGCTTCCAAGTGTATCTATGGCTACTTCATAGCTGTGGTCACAGTTAGATGCTGAGACCTGTAGCTTTGCAGTGTCTGTGCAGAATAGCTCTCATCCCTCCACAAAATGATTCATTTAGTCTACATTTGGAAACATTCTACATTGGAGTCCTGAATTATGATTTGAATTTTCAGAAATATAGCATCTCTCCATTTCACAAACACGGAGACTATAATGTATTTGCACCCTTCAGCCTAACAGCCTGCCAGTGTTGCTCTACTTTGTAGGCTTTTGAGCATGCCATTATCTGAACATTATGAAACACTTAATTTACATCGCTGTCACCCCACTTTGAAATGTTAAGATACCCGCAATCACACCCAGAGGAATAAGGTTGGCGTATTCTGGAGCCTTTTCAGATGGCAGCTCCTGGCACACTGCTTGCAAGCTACAGAAGCCTGAAGTGCAATTGTTTGGAGGCCTTGACCTAATCTGGAAAATCATGGTCCCTTGAATGCAGAAGCATGCCTGCCTTCAATACTCCAAAAGAAGTTTATTATGACATCGTATTATCAGGGCGGGCAGGGGGGTGT